ATCTCGTGTCATGCTAATGCTATTTCTTTTTATCACTCTTTTTTTCTAGGTAACTACCTGTTCCTTGCCATTATGTCAATCGAGTCATAGCTGCAAAGAATCACGCTTGATTGTTCATCACCATATTGTTCGCATATGAGTCTGAAAATTCGTAAGCCACAGAAATCAGAGAAAGAGAGAAAGAGAGGGGGGGGGGGGGGAGAAACAGACGAAGGTAAAGAAACACGAGAATGATTCGAGCTCTGGGTATGATCCTGTATGCGTCAGAGGCAAAATATAAAATTCTGTTTATCTTATATATTTGAGCCGTTGAACCCAGTGGTTTGCAATACAAATAGCTTCTGACTGCTTAATCCAATGTTGACTTATATCAAAATTGATTCTCTTGAGGAATAAATTAGATAATTATTTTCCGACAAGTATTCAACAACCTGAGAATTATTAACGCTCAAAGTTTGGAAAAAAGCTCAATGTTCGAACTTGAATAACTAAAGATGCAATTTACAAAAAAATCAAATGGATTAAGCGGATCAAGGAACGTAAGATTAACTGATTTTTACCTTTTTGCCTCTTTGATGCGTATAGGAGCATAGCCAGACCCCGGACTAGGAGAGATAGAAGCGAAAACCACGCTAGTATCTCTCTCCACTCGCGGCGGCGGCGGCGGCGGTGGTTGTTCAGGTATAACTTCGAGTCGGCGGCAGGGGCGCGAAACTTGCGGTTTCGACGGCAAAGTAGGAGGGGACGCGAACATCTCTCAAAGCCGAGTGCGAGAGGATAGGTAGATCTCGGTTGCTCGCGGGGAAAGAGACCTTCCCAAACAATGCTAATAAATCTATCGGTGCGGGGTACCGCTGCTGCTGCTGTTGCTGCTACTGCTGCTGCTGCTGCTAGTTCAAACTTCCGTTTTCCTCTCTCTCTCTCTCTCTCTCTCTCTCTCTCTCTCTCCTCTCTCTCTCTCTCTCTCACATCGGACGAATGGAAAACTTTACCAAGGCAAAGTGATCGATCGCGGATATTCGACGCGCCTTACTGGACGAGCCTCCCTCTTGCAACCATTATATATAGTATTGAAACTTCGTTAACCGAGTTTTCCAATTGCGAAGTGACTTTGGAATTTGGTGATTGGTTTTAGCCACAAATTTCCACCGAGCTTGTTGTTATTGCTTATTAGTCAATTTCTTTCGATTTTGTTTTACTTCAACTTTAGTTCGTTAATTATTAATATTGTTTTGTCTGTTGTTGAGTTTCTTGGAAATTTCATGGCTGACTAAACTCGATATTACTACTCGACAGGTAAGAAGTTACTTGGATGCAGCAAAAAAATTACATCCGAGATATGAAACGAGTGCAGCAAAAGAGAGATAAGACGAAGAGAATAGAACAAAGAGTGTACACGTGGCAGAACGTGCAGACAGAGTGCAGAGCTCGAAAAAATGTTGCCCGCTTCTGTTTCTTTTATTAAGTTTTGTTTTTCAGACAGAGCGCACATAACTCTCCGGCGGTGGAGCTGTTTGCAAACGGCGTCCACTTTAAAGGGAAAAGCGAAAGACATGGAAAACGAACAGAGAGAGAGAGAGAGAGAGAGGAGAGAGAGAGAGAGAGAGAGAAAGAGAGAGTAACAATGGCCGCCAACCAAAACATCCGATAAATCTAACCGGCCCCCGGACCTCAAGCCCCGAGGGATTTTAAACTTGCACGTACGCAAACACATAGACACACGCGTAAAACTCTTTCGACCCCCTGAAACGTGGTAAGCAACCCTTACATTAAAGGACAGACTCACCTAGAGAGAGAGAGAGAGAGAGAGAGAGAGAGACAGGGAATACGACTGGCCGTCACGCATGCCACAAACGAGTGGATACGCATGACGAAAAGTCGAGAGGGTTGTCTTTGTCAGATACTTGTGGATGTGGTTAAACTTTCGAAATGCGATTTCTCTTTGATCATTTCTCTGAATTTCATGAAGGCGCATGCCGTTATATTAGCGTACATATTATCGCTCAAAAATATTGCTCACCGGTTATTCGTGATGAGAAACCGTACGTTTTTAATGCGAATGCGTTAACGCGGCTCCCGATAATCCTTCGGACAAAGCCAACCGAGCAGACTAAGACGATTGCGAAGCAAGCCCCGCAGTGAACGCATCGCGTGCAGGCCACGACGGCGTGGTAACAAGATCCACTTAGAGCTGTTTGCCCTCCGATAGCGTTCGCGACAGCTTTCCGTCCGAAATTTCCCGTGAATTTGTATGCGGTCAGCGCTGGTAATTCGTTTTGCTTTGGCCCCCGCAGTCCCTCATCTTCTGCCCGACAAACACGCGCGCGCACTCACGCCCTATCAAACATTCAAAAGTGTATGCGTGCAGGCACGGTGCCGAACCGCAAATTGTTTCTAGCTTTGGCTAATTGTCAGCAGGAAGCAGCGACGGCGGCGGCGGCCGGTCAGCAACGATTAATAATGAACGCCGACGGTTACGGCTGACATGAAAAATTCAGAAAACCAACTACACGTCGCGCAATGCCATCGCCGCAGCTCAATAAACAGCATTCGCTCTATTTCTCGCCCATTGCTTCCGTTCTCGTCGCCGTGTCTCGTTAGCGTAACTATTTCGCACGGCAGTGAAACGAGCGCGGCGATGAGAAATCGACAACGTCACTAAGCAGTCATCTCGCCGAGTCGGAGAGTGGAAAAAACAGTTAGGTTTCATCGATTGGCTGGAATCCCAAGGTCAATCCGTGGTGAGTTGACCGCGTGACGTCAAGTACAGATACAGCAGCGGCAACGAGAGATGAGTGAGAGTAGTTTTTCGCGCGAGGCATTTGTAACGTCATCCTCATCGGCTGCAGCACAGCCAGCAGCAGCTTTGGTTTTCTCCATTCTTGTGCCGCACGTTGCCGCTGCTCCTCCCCCTTTTTCCTTCTCCCCGGTGCAAAGAGAAAAGCAGGAGAGACCGCGAGAGAGAGAGAGAGCGAGAGAGAGAGAGAAAGAGCGAGAGAGAGAGCGAGAGAGAGAGAGAAAGAGAGAGAGAGAGAGACCGCGAGAGAGAGAGAGAGAGAGAGAGAGAGAGAGAGAGAGAGAGAGAGAGAGAGAGAGAGAGAGAGCGTGCACAGGTTCCCGTGGGCGGAAGGAAGAGGTCCAGAGAACGAGAGAGCGAGAGAGAGAGGACAGACAGGTTGGCTCGACTGGCGGCGGCGGCCGGCTGCCATGGTTACCGTCGCATTCCCGCCTCGCCTCGTTGCCATGGAGACCTCACTCGCGCTAACCTTTCGCCGAGCGTGCCCCGCGCACGTCTTTCCCTCTCACTCGCATGACGAGAAAGAGCAAGCGAGAGAGATGGCCATTCGGGCTCTGCTGCTGCTGCAGCCTGGGATAAGGAGTGTAAGGACGAAAGAGAGTGAGAGAGAGAGAGAGAGAGCACAGACACCCGCACACACGCTGTTGCTGCTGCTCGACAACTATTTCTTTTTTCTCAGCTATGCCTCTTCTACTTTTTTCTTTTTTCCTGTTTCGCTCGGTTATCGCTGCTTCTGCCTATCTCTCGCTCTATCTTTCTTTTCGCTTTTTTCTTTCAATTTTTATTGGGGATTTCCATCGAGTGACCGTACCTTTTTTTACCTTTCTTTCATATTTCTCTCCGTCGTTTATTTAATTTTTTTATCGTTATTTATTTTTTTTCTGACGCTGAATTGGAACTTATACCAAGCATAAAATAAAAAGTCAAAAGCGGATTATTTAAAAAAATGTATAGGATTGGGAAACTATTGATTGCCGTACATTTCAGATAAATTATTTAGATTGTCATAATTGAGACTCGTGAATTATTAACGAATTGTAATCGTGTTTGCAACGTACACGTCCTTTGCATTAATTAGCACAAAGTATAAATGAGTAAATAAAGCTAATTTAATATGTATGATCGATTTTGTTTTAATGCATTGGATATGACTATTAGTGTTTAAAATAAAAATGATCTTGCAGTTACTAAGTTACATATGTATTGGAACTTTCTACAAGTATTGCGTATCAAGTATTGTTGATTGAACGGATTAATTGTAGTTTTCAATTATTGGAATTCAATAAAATTCACAGATATTCAGGGATAAATCGTTTTTATTTTACTGACAAAACCGTTCTGTATCTACCGCGGAGATGAACAATCTTTTATTGGTACCATCGGTTCGAGTTCAGTAGTTGTATTGAGATTCAAACTAAAACTGCATAATAATATTTCCAAGCAATATTTACTTTTCTCGGTAATTCCAAATTACACGATAGACGTTCGCCAGTTCGCAAAACACTGCAAAAATAAAAACGCGCGCCTTGCTTAAAGAAGAAATAAGAGCAGGAGTCGCGCACCAAGTCGGTTGCCGAGGTTATTAGGCCACGGCGACAAGCCGAAACGAGCGATCGCAGGAAGAAAAGAAAAAAAAAGAGCTCGAATAGGCAGGTGGTCGTAAGCCGCCTATATGCTCAGCTCTAATCACGCCATGTAGCGGTGCAGGCAAGCAAACGATACTGCGTATATGCTTGCAATCGTGGGAGAGGGGAGGCGCTAATACAGAGGCGATTGGTCGTGCACGCATCAATATTTATCCAGAACTGCGGCGAATTGCGCTCCGCGGGAGAATGTATAACGCGGGCTGGTGCGCGCGTGCACGCTGGTGCCGTGAAACCGGAGAATACAGAGTTGGAAACTCGCTCCACCCACCGCCTGGCAAACACGCGAGCCACGAGTGACTGGCGCGCACTGGCGCGCGGAATGAAAGCAAGCCAGTCGCGCGCCTCGTCTGTGTTTGCATGTGTGGCGAACGATAACCGTGCAGCCTCGGCATTATCTTTCGCGCGTGCGCGCGAAAAAGGCCAGCCTGCCGATGCGCAATTCGGCGAGCGCACGTGCGCGCCGCGGTTAGCAGGCTGCTGCCGACGGGACGACCCGCGACGTTGCCGAAGCAGCTCGCCGCGGCCGAATTCGGCCGATGCGGACGCGTAGCTTATACCACTTACCAGGACTGCCGAGGAAGACGGAGGAGTAAAGAACGCCGCGGCGCGCAGCGTCACTTGCCGCTCTTTGCGCGTCTGGCGGCGAGTTCCAGTCTCTTGGACGTTGACACCATTTACCTGCAACAAGAAACAACAGCGCTTTTGCTATCTGCACAGCGAACTGCTTTGCAACGCAGACGCTCGTCTCGCTCCACCACGTCTCATTACGTAGCAGAAGAACGGCTCAAAGAGAAAATAGCATTTGATCGTGTTTTATGTAAGACGCTCTTCTTCCCTAGTAGTGCTCGGCTTCCAAGCTAGAACGGTAACAGAGCGGCGCACGGAGATGGAGACGTATAAAAAAGATTTATCGTGGCACTAGTATTGCACTCGTTGCGTCCTCGTCTGCCTGCAATGTACGAGTGGTGTTGTATCGGTGCCAGTGCTTTCATATTCTCTCTCTCGCAGTTCGACATCAGGCCGGTCACGTGTCGCAGGCTCTGCACAACTGCACAATAACCGTTCGCTCGCTCTCTAGCACGTTCGATCGTAAAGGTGAATCCTCTCGGTCGAACTAGTGCATCAAATAACCGTGAAAAGGTGCGAGTCGCTCTCCGCGCTCTCGAGAACCGACAACGACTGTTATGGCGCAGTCGCCAAAGCGCCGAGAAGGCGGAAAGCCACGCGCGCCTACGTAGTCAAATAGATTTCGTCCGAAAGAAGACAGCGCGAGCAAAACCGGCCGACGTTTGCGTAAATTATAGGGTCGGCGCGAAGCAAATAAGTTCTTAATTGTCGGACAGCGATTTTATCGCGTGACGCTTTTGCCTGCATGCGGTGGCTTATTACAGTTCGCGTTTTTTTGCTTTGTTTTTCTACGCCAGAGAGAGTGAATCGTGCAATTACATTAATTGGATAAGTGCGCACGCGCGAGGAACGCGCTGCAATCCGCGCCGATCGGACGCGCGAGCGCTCGGCCGTCCTCGTGTGACACGATCACGCCAAGTGCCGCCACACAACACGGCGAAATGGCCCGACGCTGCATTTTCGCCGATAATGGCTTTGTAACACTTTGCGCCGGCACGACTCTCGCTCCAAGGCAGTTTGGGCCGCGGCGAAGAGTCGGGCACACTTTCTAATTGCTAATTGGGCCAAGCTGATTTTTACTAGGCGGCAAAGCGCGAAGAAAGGGCCGCGTCGCCGACCGCGGCCCATTGCACAATGAGCTGTCAACGTAATCGTTCTCGCTCGGTCGACATTGATGTGCAATGTGATTGCGTCGATGAGCTTCCAAGCCGTACCCTTGGCCGTGCCCAACTGGCAATTATTTATAAATATGAGTTGTATAAGGGAGACTCTAGCAGTAGCCATAGCGCTGCGGCGATAATACGTCCGAATCGAACGTTGAATGTGACAGAGGCGCGGATTATAAGGGCCACGATTAGCTCAGGGCGCCTCCGCGCAACACAATTCAGCTCTCTCTCTCTCTCTCTCTCTCTCTCTCTCTCTCTCTCTCTCTCTCTCTCTCTCTCTCTCTCTCTCGCGTAATTGCTGACCCAGCTATCGCTCAACGGTCGTCACTTCATCACGCAATCTCGCTCAAAATTATTCGCGGACGAATATTTATATAATTTTGGCGAGTCGCGTTTCGATTACCGCGGCCTTTCGAGACGAACAATACCGCTCGGAATAAGAAGGACAATGGTCGGACTCTGCATCGAGACGAGCATTTTCAATTAACAACCGTTTGACGAGAGCATCTTCTAAAATAAGATGATTGACGGATGAAACGCGCAACGAGCTGCTCGTTCCCTTGGGGCGGCCAAGACAAAAGGGACGCAAACAAGCGTCTAATTGAGCGGCGCTCATCTGCAAGTAGCCGCTGGCGTGCGCGCATCGAGCTGCCCCGCGGACGAGCAACGCGAGCGACAAATGCAAATGGTCGCGCGGGGAATGTGCGCACGCATGATTTAAGAGGCAGGCGCGAGACGGCACCCTCCGAACCAATTCGAGCGCGACGCAACAAGCAATTTTCCGGCGATGTGAAAATAGGAGTAGGTATCGCACTTTATTTCGCCCGCGAGAGAGGGAGAAGGATCTCCGAATGAGAATACACGTCGCGCGCGCGCCAGAGGGTAAAGCCGCGAAGCGAAGTAATTCCACAGGCGGAGGCGAGGGAGCGCGCCTGGCCTTATCTGCGCCGCTCGCTCTGCCTGTGTGCTCAGCCGCGAAAATTATATTCTCGAAAAGCAGAAAATTGCCGGCTTCCCCGCTCGCGCCTCCGATCTCCAATTTCCCGTGCGCGGCTTTCGATCAAAATGATAATCGGCCGGCAGCGCCGATTTGACTGATCGCCTGCCCCCACGTAGATCCGTGCAATTATACTAATGGCAATGCGCGAGCGCTAATGCACGGGCCCGCGTCCGACTCCGACTCGCGCCCCAATGACTGGTCAATTTTCGAGCGCGCGACTTTCCGAAAGCGAGTTATCGTCTCCTGCCCCCTTGCTCCTCGCTTTTGACTTGTTATTCAATGATTACTGTGATTTTCAAGAGGCCAAAAACGATCTAATTGGCCGACGCCGCAGCTGCTAGTCCGCGACGTATTATTAAGTGCGAGCGCCCGAGCAGTTTGTTATTATATGGAAGTGGGACGCGGGTCTCGCGGAGAAAGCGAGGCTTTATCAACTGGTCAACGTGGAACAAACTCGAGGAGATGCGTCGACGAGTGCATTGGTCGTTTGACGAGCTGCGCGAGCAAGTGGAGGCTGTCCCCACGGGAACGGGAGACGACGAAACGTGGAACGGCGAGGACGTGGAAGCCAAATGGAATGCAAAGAGTATACCTGCGCGGCATCGCGAGGATCGCACGCCCGGGCAGAAATAATGCGCGCGGCGTTTTTCGCGGGAGAGGAGGGAGGAGGAGCGCGAGACGCGAGACGCGAGACGCGAGACGCGAGACGCGAGACGCGAGAACGGGAGAGATTTATGGGCGCTCGGAGACAGGGTGTAATCATACGCATCACCCCATCAACCCTGTAACTCTGATTTACCGTGGAAATTTCCAAAGTTCTTTTCGATTTCCCCCGTCAGCGACACGCGCGCTCTGCACGCGGCTCTATCGATTTTGGCCGCCTCTCCGCGCGGATCCGTCGACGACTCGACGACTCGGAGCAATTACCGCCACGTTGCCGGCGCACGCGTTCGCTCGGCCGAACATTATTTTCATCTTCGCTAAGTTACGTTTTCGCTCTGGTGTCTCGAGTCCCTTTCTGCTCCACTTTCCGAGACTCATTGAGAAATACGAGCGGAGAAGAGGGAGTCCTCCCACGTGAGTGATGGCGCGATGTTACGCGCTGATACAGCGGGAAATGGCTGGCAGGGAAGAAAAAAAACGACCACCGCCCCTCTCTCCTTTTTTCATTCCTGGTAAACGCGTCTCCTCGCCTATTCTCCCGATCAGTGCAGTCGAAACGTTCGGCGCGTCTATTTTTCGACCTCACCCCGTTATCGCTATTTTTGAGTTGACGTGAAAATAGCTCGCCGTGCGCGCGCGCGCGCGCGCGCGCCCGTCAAAGTTTGACAAAAGTCCAGGAGAAGAATTTTCATGCTGTTCACGCGCGATAAAAGCGCCTCGGCGGCAAGAGAAATAGAGTTCCGCGAGGCTCAGCACTTTGGCGAGTAGGGGCTTTGAAAAAGATGCGAGACTAGACAAAGTGGGCGACGCAGCAGAACGCTTATTTTCCCAATAACCCCATCAAGAGAGTAGCAGCTCGCGCTCGCGCGCAACGAAAGCTCGCTCCGTATAAATAAATCAATATAAGCCACCCTTTCTCGCAAGCGCGTACAGCCTCCTCGCTCCTCCGGTAGCGCGCGTGTGTGCGTCGCTGTGACGTATGAGGCTAGTCTGGCGCCGTCCTATGTGGAAGAAAAGCGGAGTCGTCGAGAGCGCAGCCTGTTATTTCACAGTTAGGCCCTCCTCCTTCTCTCTCTCTCTCTCTCTCTCTCTCTCTCTCTCTCTCTCTCTCTCTCTCTCTCTCTCGCTCTCTCTCTGCCAGTCCCGGGGGAAGCTTTTGTCCTCGACTTCCTGACAGGGCCAACTTCGCACCTGCCCTCTCACTCTTCCACTCGGCCGCGTAATTTATTCCAAGGATAATCCCGCGGATCAGCCGGAGAGCGATATTATTTTCTCTTCAGCTTAGTTCCGCTCTGCTCTCGCGTATGTGTAAAACTAAAAAAAAATAAGAGCGAGGAGCTTGATTTACGGCTTGTCCCGTCGCTCTTCTTTCTCTCCGCATGATGTACTGCTGTAAACAATCTGCTCTTTCGACGCCGTCCCGTGTCGCAAAAAGCAACCGATCCTGATTGTGCAATTCACAGCGCGCATAATCGCCAGATTATATTGCTCACGAAGGAAACTGGCGCGATAATGGAGACATTTATCAAAGATTTTCGCCCGCGCGTCTGTCTGCGTGGGTGGTTACTGGCGCACCGTAGCGTGGTAGTTTCCTTTAATTTATGGCCACGCACCAGCACCGCGCTGATACAGTCGACGGACCAAGACGCGCGGAATCAATCCCCCGAGCATTACAAACGAGCTAACGAGCGACTGTCACACGGCGCGATAAAAGTTGCGGCCGGCCGGACACTTGACGCGGACCGACTAATTCTAGCGCTGGCACGGGCTGGTGATCGATGTAGACCGATGAAGGAGCCAAAGTCCCTCCGGGAAAGGAAAAAACTGGCGGGTGTTTTGAAAAACGAAAGCTGGAGTGGCGCATCGCGTTCGCCACAACTCAGCAGTAGATAGCATTAGAGGCATGAGGTATGGCGGTTTAATTCTGTCGGATCCGAGGCCCGATAAAGCGTGCAAGGGTCGGAGGGAGGGAGGGAGGAAGAGAGGCAGCGAGCGCGCGCGACTCGATCGTAATCAGTAATACGCGCGTCTAGATTATGCTTGAGATTTTGACGCGGAACACGTGATGCAGTTTGTACCCTATGGCAAGCAACAGCAGCAGTGCAGCAGCAGTCTACCTGTCGGCCAGACGGACGACTCACTGAGCCTGGCACAGCAATTAATTATGAGCAGCGGGGATGCGATATTCTCGTCTTACACGTGCCGCGCGCTCCCAAGCCAGC